AGGGTAGCACAAAGCTTAGCCAATTTGAAGTATAAATCGGGCTGAGCTCCGTGCAATTTTGTGATTTTTTCAAGCCAAATATTTTAAAAAGCGACCCGTCCACGAGGAGACTCAGCATGATTGAGTAAGTCGAACAGCTGTTGGCTTCGATAGAAACCGTTATGAACGCTTGCTTTTAAAGCGTCATATTTCGACTTTACTCTGCAAGTCACTAACACATTGAAGACAGATAGTAAAAGCCTGGTACTTTCTTCGAAGGAATTACATTTGAACCGTCTCACTTATGTTTGCGTGCCTAAGCAATCGATGTTGTAGGAGCGGTATTACCACGTCCACACTCACACAACACTCTGCATGAAAAGCTGCTGATGTTGTTTTAATGCAATACGTAGTATTTGTACCAAAATGCTACTCATGACATCCTTAGTTAGCGACCCACAGAGACCTAGGGATGTTTTGTCAAGCCCAGTAAACCTGTGCGCTGATTGAATGTGGTGTGATCAAGTCGTCTGTTTAATGAACCAGGTAAAAAAGCTCATCGCCATGTCATGTTGGTAACTTGGATTTACCTCAGTGATATTCCAGGGAGGGGTCACGTAAAGTGTTGACACATTTGGTCGGCTGTAGACAGGGTCAGGCTTGGTGATGCCAAACACACACATACAATCACACAATCATTTGACGAAATTAAGGTGGTTTGGCACATTATCTGCCTGCTGGCAAGTTTTTTTGTCTCCCGTAGATGCTCTTCATCCAACAAGGTTGGCGACTTGCCACGGACAGATCAAATAGACTCGGATTCGGAGGAATGTTGCTCGTGGAATAATCGATCGATTGAGAAAAATGCTGCCTAACAAATTGGCTGCCCCAACAACATGGTTCTGTTCACCGATCAGATGTTGCCATCGCGAAAAAAAACGAGCGTCCAGGCAATGAAGGTGCTTTTTTCTCAGCCAGCGTTCACGTTACGCTAACATTGTCATTAGAGTGGCTGCTTAGACATGTGTATTCACAATAGACGTCCAGGCACGCTTGATGTGGTACCCCAGCTGTGGCGAAAACCTGCCAACTAAAAGGCCAGTTTAAGGCAATGCTTAGTCTAATAGCTATACGTTTAAAGGAGCCTAATCCGTAATAGGTACATATATCTGGGTGTCCGGAAAGAGGTTATTAATACGTCTCAGGTCACAAAACAATACCTCATTAATGGGTCCTTCTGGAACACGAGTTGAATCGGGTGGTTGATGTAATCCATGAGGTCTCATTGCAAAACCCTTTATAAGTACTAGAAAAATATCCGAAAAGGGGTTCTGTTTAAGGAATAGACAACCACGACACCACAACTCTATCGCTCGATTTAGGGTTATGTGGTGGATGTCATTGTGTGGGGCATTACTGAAATGTAGCAAACTTGCTGGAGTAGTACAGTAGAATACAAGCACATATGTTGCACTTGCCAATGTCGACGCAAGTCACAGGACGGAAAAGTTACAAAATGTAATTAAATTATTTATCATGGCGCAATTTTCAAAATCAATACATTTCTTATCAAAGTCCCTTCGCGCATCACGAATATTCAGCTAATTCTTGTAAAGCGACATTACCATGTCTTTAAAAAAAACACAAAATGTCAGAGAATTCGAAAATATTCACACAGACAAAACATAAATTGCTGTTTTTTATGCGCCTTTTAATTAAAGACTACAAAGCGAACAAAACTGGCCTCTGCTTAATTAGTAACGGGAGTTGGAGCAGGAAATGGTCGCCAGTTTGTTGTCTCTAAAGTAAGTGGGGCCTCATTGCATTTGTAGACGCCGAAAATGGACATTTAGAGTTTCCAATCGAGTTAAAACAATCAATTTTTGAAAAAATTCAACAACAACCGTTTCACACTTTGTGAAACCATTGTGCGCAGTCAAAAGCGGGTTGGAAACGATTAACTGCTTCTGCCATCTTGGTTAGTAACGAACTAATTACGTCGCGGAATGGTCAAGTAATAGATTCTGTTTCGGGAGAAGACATAAATTCCCACGTATTTTATACTTAGCCCAACGACAACTCTCCCGCGGTAACCTATTGCCTCATAGCCAAAATCTGAGGCATCTCAAACTGCGTGTGGATAATTTCACTGAGTTCACTTGGTCGTAAATGGATTATTAGCTTTCTAGCGCAATGAGTACCATAGTGTACGTTTTCAGCAGCTAAATGTGTACGAAATCGGCGGGGTTCCATGCGATCTCTACGATTCCCGCGAGACAAATACTGTCGAAGTTAGCATATTTGCGATCGGCATTTGTGTATTTCTAAAATATCAACTATTTTTACACGCTCCTTTTGACGATTCAGTCAACATTTACGAGTTGCTAAAATTAACCACGCTGTGAATGTGTTGACCTTTGATACTACAGCATATTCAATTCTTACATGCGGGTACATTTTTGGGATCAATCTTGGGCATCACTTGGAGTGACTTTATGCATTACCAGAGGATGCTTAGAGTGCTAATCTTTTAAGGATAACCCTATCTGCAACAGTTTTACTCACCCCAACAGGGTAACTCGTCTGACGAATTACACAGACGTTAAATACAAATAAAGCTACAGTTTAAAATAATGCGAAATCCTCGAGGTGACAGGTTTTCAGTGAACAAATAAATTCACAGTGACAAATTTTTGTCAGGTGGTTGGACAATGGAAGATCCCTCAGCAGTGTTCAACCTCATAGATGAAGTTGGCAGCTATCAACAGTTCGTCAGTGTTAATTAATTTATTTTTTCCCAAACACTAAGTCAATCAGGATCTGCCGATTCAATGTTTTAAATGCCACACAAAACAGCAGCACGAGATCTGAATGAGGCAAGGCCGATTAAAGTGCAACGTGTCATTCACATGGGCTAAATTAAGCAATTGACAATGACTCTCGTTACTTACGCTATAAAACCGTAGGAAGCATTAATTAGCTTAGTGCTTAACCAACTCAATGTGCTTTAGGTGGCCTGTACTAAAAGTTCCAACAATAACCAAACTAAACTTAAGGAAGCAATTAGAAAAAATCAGATTGACGAAGTAGTCACAAGTCAGGAAAGAGGGCAAATTTATGGTGACAAAATCAATTTTCCTGTCCACATGGGAATGCGCAAGGCAGTGAAATGAAGCTGATACAAATTTAGGGGTTGTGTGATTTAAAATCAGCCAAAATCCAAGACTTGGAAGCTTAAACGACTACCCAACTACCGGAACTGAATCGAGCCAAGTTATCGGGTAAAAGTGAATCATTCCAATTAACTGAGGTATTACCTCAAAATTCTGATGAGTTGCCATCCCTTGAAAAAGCTGGTGGTCGATAACCTACAAAGGTAAATATATCACTTGTTCTTGAAGGCGCTTTTGCCTACAAAAATAAACAACTAGGCTTGGCGTAATTAGCAATGAATGAAGATGTTACTCGAGCACTTTGAGTGCGAAATAACTAATTTCTAACTTAAAAAATCGCTATAGCAACGGGACACAATCGTCACCTTGACGACTAACAATTGGTATAATACCGATAAACGTCCCTAAATTGTAAACTTTCGAAAGGCCCACTGACTGAAGGCAATTGAAAGGCATAAAGGAGGTCAGACAAGGAAGTAGAAACTCAATCCTTTGTTTATGCAACGAGGTGTGGTATTCCACCCTTTTACTGCAAGTCTGCTGTGGTTATTTCTGGGGCATTAACAAGTATGCACTTAGAAGTGTTCCAAGGTCTAGCTTGGTAATTTGTGGGCCAAAGTACAAAGATAGTTTGTCTTAACAAACTATCGCCGTTAATCTCAAAGCTGAATGCTAGATTGAAAAGCCTCCGTCCTGCACTGCCACAGCCTATTTTATTGTCAGAGCTATCATCGATTAGAAAATGAGAACAGTTTACACTCTGAGAGCCAACCCTTAAAACTGTTTTCCCATTTAACCACACTTACGGGGCACAGGGCCAAACTGTTTACAGCCTAATTTTGTGGTCATATTGTATTAAACTAAGGCCTCTTAACTACATTCTGATAAACAGTGGTCTTTAACGTTAATTCCAAACAAACCTGCATGTGGGAATGGTCTATTTAATGAATCCTGACCAAAAAATGAGCTCCATTCACACGAGTTGATGCGATCCACATACAAAGCAATTAATTGAGCGCGGGGTACATCTGCGGACAATATTGCAAATGTATTCATGAAAAACCATTTGACTTCCAACAGGTGCAGTTGTCTGGAAACAGTTTAAGGAAGCAGCGCTTTGGATACGTTTGGAATAAAATCATACTTCTCAGGGTATGGTAAAACATGAGCGAAATAAACTGGAGTCAGTGGATCTCAGAATTTAGAAAATGAACAAATGTAAGAATGTACCTGCATTAAAATCGGAAAAAAAACAAGTGGAAAAATAATTTAACTGGCGATGGGCTATGACACCGTAAATCCCTTCGCAGACTTGTACAACTTTCCAAAAAGAGACATTTTGGGGTCGGACACAGCACAACATTAAGTTTATTCATTTTACTGCACGGCATGGACACGTCTAACTTTATCACTTCCTGGTATCGTGGAGCGTAGAACTCAGTTTTCAATTTCAAAATGTTATTGCGACACTCATTTTTACAATTGGAGTTCGTTTGGGGCGCAGCCCCAAGTGTTTCCGACCTCCGCACTGCTGTCGATTTCCACCGTAGAAAAGTCATGCGCGGTAGTACCTGACTGAACCGCCTGAACGGCACATCAGCCAACTTCATGGTGCACGCAGACTTTGGCAGTATGTCGCTCAGTTAATTATTTTAAAGATAGCGGTCTATTATTAAAACACTTATGAGTTAACACTTTAGGCGACCAGATGCACATGGCACTTCGTTCATTGGTTGCTCACGCAATCCTGCGTGAGCCAATTGTAAGCACGCACCCCGCACAGATATAAATGACAGGGATCGTTCATGAGCCAGGATTTGCTGGCAAGAATCACAGAGAAAGTAAACGATGACTGAAGTCGAGGCCAAAATCCCAGAAGTGAGTTGGTTGCACTATAAAATCGATAACAGGACATTAGTTTTAATGCGCATTCAGTGTTTTTACCAAGCATGAAGTTAAATTACAAGTACTTTACGCACATGTTTGAAACTCAAACAGCCGGTTTATCTTACAATCAGTTATTTTGCAGATGTGAGTGAATTCCAGTTAACGTTTTCGCTGGTCTTGTTGTTCCAATGTTCAGAGGTGCGCATAATCTAAATTGAGATACACTTAGGGAGGTTAAACACCTGTTTATCGGAGCAACTAGAGTGCCAATCATTAACACTCGTTGTTGTGTGTTTTTTTTAAATAGGTCCAGGCTGAAATTGCCGTTGAAGCTGAAAAGCCAAAGTGTGAGGAAGCGGCCGCGGAGTCACCCAAAGAGACAGTCAAGGAAACTAAACCAGTTAGTTGAAAGATTTTAAATTTCAGTTTGAATCAGGCAGACATGGCGTAACTAAAATGAACATTAACTTGCTTAATTTTAGGTGAATGGTGAGGCAATGGAGACAAAGCAAAAAGTATGCTATCGCAAGTACACTTAACTTCATTTCAAATCAATAATCTACACGTACTCGCATATCTTGTCAATACATCACAATTAAGACTTGAATTACTGTCGAAGTTCACTATGTGGAA